ATTGTTAAAATAATTATGATTATGGCTCAATTTCCATATTAATGATCCCAAAATTTAATCTCCAGTCCTTACCTTAAAACCAACTCTAGTTCTATTGGTTACCCTGACTAATTCTAGTAATTATCCTTTTGGCACAAAGTTATATGAAACGTGACCCATGATTATACAAGCAAAAGGAGGGAAAACGTTTGGGAAAACAAATGGTTCCTTGGTATTTCTCAAATGGCAAGGCATAACATTTGTTCTCCAGATAATTTGAGCGAAGTTTGCAAAGTATAATCACATAATTACTGTGTGGTGTAAAGAAGTTGACATTCTGGTTAAAAGTTTCAATTGAATATTTACAAAATAATATAAAATAACCATTGATACTTAAATGCTTAAATTCTTTCAGTACTCCATTGTCTCTTTAATGCATGTTCTATTGCGTTAATCGGGAATGACAGTTTGTCTGCTCACTTGAGATGCCTCACCAGTATTGAACTGTTTGAGAATGCCAAATACTATGCTAACCACTCTTTCATTGAGTCCCAGCATAAAAACGTAATAGCGTTCACTACACTTAAAAATGCCTTTGCCATGTGTGTATCTGATGCCGCTCTTACTTTTTTCGAGAATTGTAATGAAATGCAGCAGTTTTAGAAGAAGCAAAGGAAGCTGCAAAAAATTACACATTCTCATCCATGGTGTGCATGTTTGCTTTGTCCACAGTAATTCAGTGTGCCATTCAGTCATTCTACCCACTCACCAATGATACTGTAGCGAAAGAAAATTGGGATTCCTTGGATTCAATTGTACAATGCAGTATATCCACGGGATTATCTTGATGGCAGTGCAATTGAATATGTCCATATCTTTCATTGTGCTGCGATGCCACCGTCTTATTTGGTTGATCGAATAATTCTATCTAGCAAAAATCATTTTGTTACCTTGTGCAAACCAGTTAAGGCACTTCAGCCACGAGACCATTATTTTAAAGCACACCTTCCAACCTTATTGAAGTCTGCGATGCCAGTTCATCCTAAAGTTCCTCCTAAAGTTTATACTAAAGTTTTTTCTGCTCCTTCCTCTACACAAGTGACTACATTTACTAAAAAGCAGACGACTGGTCCAAAAAGAAAACAAATTAGCTTAGATCGATGCGCTTCTTGTGAAACGAGCGTGCAACACACAAGAAACTGTAGACAGTGAAATCAAATTTCCCAGCACTAGTAAAGGAATTTCATCTGTAACTCCCAACACTGGTCCTCCTTCAGAAAAATATAACACCAAAGCACAACGAACTTCCACCAATTCGTGGCCAAATGATATCTAAACTACGTAAATCTGGTGTCCAGTCTTCCTGATTCAAAAAAGTACGAAATTCTGTGCAATCATTGCCATTGGAAACCTGGTTCTGACACGAAAATATTGGTAGACGTTTCCGGTTGGCATGGTTATCACGATTTCCATGGTTGGCTTACTCTGCTGTGGCAAACGGTGGTTTTTGCGTCACTTGTGTTCTTTTTGGCAGTGAAAGCACGCATAATGCAAGCGAGCTCCAACGATTGATGACTAGTGCTCTTCCTCCAAGTGCTTCTGCTGTCCAGAAACTATGTCAGCATGGTGAAAAATCCAATGTTCACAAAACGGCAACTCTCCGTGCTACACAGTTTAAGCGAATGATCGAGAATAAGATACTTGGTATCGATGTGCAGCTGAAAAAACCCACCCCGTAAAAGACCTACGTTGCAACTGAAACGCCAAGAGGATTGAGTTCGATGTACAGCCCAAATTGGATATTTTTTGCTAAGAAGAACCTGAAATACACAGGAACAGTACGTGCGGTACAGAATTGTGGTTTTATGTAAGTACAGTGATTTTGTAACATTCTAATGTTGTAACGTTCGCTGAAGAAGATGGTATGTTGTTTAAATATTTGACTTATTTAGTGCGTTTCGTTATTTGCTGTCTAAAATATGGCGTAATTAATGACGAATTATATGATAGAATTCGATGCTCAGAACTCAGGAAATGGCATTTCCGGGGTTCAAATTTCAAAAATTTTCCGGGGGGGAATGCCCCCGGACCCCCCCTAATTATGCTCGGTTTTGGAGTGCGCCACGGTCAGGGTTTAGGCTGGATCCGCGCCTGGGTTGAACCCTCAATCTCCAATGGAGGCTGATCTAACACTTTTAGTTTACTAAGAATGACATCCTCCTTCTGATCCCTAATTAATTGCGCACGATTCCTATCAAGAATATTGCGTTTTTCTTTAACAATCGCAGGCAGTGATTTATCCTCGCTACTCTCCCGCTCATTCCTCTCATGTATTTCAAATAACCCCTCCAAACAATAATTATCTAGGGCAATCTCGCCTTTTGGCTCATCCCATTTCCCGGTCAATTGATTCTGCTTATCTAATCAATTGTTGTTGTTGCTGTTGCTGTTGCTGTTGCTAGCTGTTGCTGTTGCTGTTGCTGTTGCTGTTGCTGTTGCTGTTGCTGTTGCTGTTGCTGTTGCTGTTGCTGTTGCTGTTGCTGTTGCTGTTGCTGTTGTTGTTGCTGTTGCTGTTGCTGTTGCTGTTGCTGTTGCTGTTGCTGTTGTTGTTGTTACAGATATTGGTCAAAAAATAAGGGTTTCATGCATGTTTTAACAGAAATTTGTCCCCTTTTTCGCCCCTTTTTCGAATGTCCAGAAAAAAAAAATTCGAACCGCCCCGCTCGCCAACATTTTTGGGAGAAATAGTGGCCAAAAAAATTTTTTGGTGCACGGCATCATAGGCTTTCGCAGGGCAATTCTAGCAGACACGCCCCTAACTAAAAGGGGCTAGTTTTGCCCCTGGTTAAGGGATGGGGATTGAGCGAGGTTTCGTCATTGCGTGACATGAAAACATAACCTGAATCTCGACTTTCTCCCACATATTCTTTTTGCTAAATACGACATGGCAGCATTAACAAAAGGCGACAAAGTCATTAGCCAATGAGATTGCTTGGGTATCAAATCTAGCAGGTGAGTATATCAAATCATTGCGGAAGGCTAGCGCTGTCGACCAATGAAAACAGTTTTTGAAGCTCATTTATGGGATAATGTAATTACTAAAACGTGCAAAAAATTACCAAAGTCCGCCCGCTTCGCAAAATGGCCCGATTTCATTGCTCGACATATACAAGTGATCTATGGTGGCAACCACTAATTACAGACGTCTAGTATTTCTATAATTATATTGGAACGAAACATTATTTCTTTTTTTAAAGAAATATTTTCCTGTTGGACCTAGTTTTTTTAGCTTAAATAAAAATTCAGTCTTTTAGAAGCATTTTCATATATATTTGACCATCATGCGATGCTTATAGAAGTTGCCAAATTTGACCTCTGAAATTGGTTATCGCGTGCGAATTTTTCCGCCGCCACATTGATGCCGTGTAACGTCATAAGATGAACGGAAACAAAGATATGAAAGTCGTATTTGTAGTAAATTATATGACGCGTCAACATATTGCAGTGGAATTTTTTACTATTTCACTTGTTTATGGCGCAGATAACTGATTTTTAAAAATCGAAGAACAAGTGTGTGACGAGTTAAAACCGTCAACGTGGGTGCTACTAACGATCACAGACCGAATAAACAATACAAAATATTTTTTTATTATTTTTAACATTTTAAAAGACAACACTACCTAAGCTAATGATTTTTACTAATATAAAGTCAGACCGAGTTCATACCACTGCTTCGTCTTCCTGTCTTCGGCTAGCCCTCGATGTAGTTACCACTGTTCATAACCTCAATTTTCGGCCCAATGCAATTCGCATACTTAATCTACCAAATTGGTTGGCCCGCTGGCGTCCAAATTTTCTTAATTTCTCTAGTTGTGAGTGTACGTGTTTCTTCTCTTCTTTTGACTGCCGCGACTCATCTAATCCCTCTCCCTTTCAGTGACTCATGTCTGCTATTTATTGTCTTAAATTCCCACATTTGCACACTATCAGACGTCAATTAATAAACCTAAATTTACATAAACTTTAACATACTATTATTTCCTCACAAAGTACTTTATCTTATTGTTTATTTGAAGGCGGAATGACGGTCAGAGACTCAGATAATAGGGTCAGTACTACATCTGGAAGTCAACGAGTATGGACTAGGCTAAGTCGACTTTGAAATACGACGATGAACCAGTTGCCTAACAGCTTTTATACAGCTTCACTAGACGAAGTGATAGAGACATTGTATAACTCCGCCGCAGATAAGCAACTACCATCTGTGACTATGTTGGAGCTGGTTGGAGCAATCAAGCGATGGTACAGTACCGGTAAAGTTAGTGGTAAGTAGATCCTTTTTATTACCTCCCCCAGGAGGTTATGCAATCATCTGGGTTTGTATGTGTGTATGTGTGTGTGTATGTATGTATGTGTGTATGTGTGTATGTGCATGTGTTTGTCTGTGAGCACCATAACTCAAGAAATACCCAACATATTCATACGAAATTTTTTTAATGCATTTTCCATCGGCTAAGGAAGAACAGATTAAAATTTGGTTGAATTTGGTTAACAAAATTTTGTCTTGGTTTTCCCGTTCAATTAAAAAAAAATACTGAATGCGTAATTAGGACGTGTATAATTTATGCACGCAGTACTAAGACAATAATGAGATGATAAACCTCAATAAGCTTCAGCCTTCATTATCTATTGTCTTAGTTGCATTTCACGCGACCGAAATTCAATGTCTAAAACAAGGCTTACGGAGTTACGCATTATTGCGTTCAGCAAAGTGCCAGTCCATTCAAATTCTAAAAACATTAGATTACTTCAATGCAGGATTATAAAAAAAAAGGCAACCTCGTAATTTCCCAAGAAATCGACATTGTTTTAAAGACAAAAGATTTTAGCTGCCTGGGAATTTAAAATAGCACAACTGTCAAAATTACTGCACGCGCGAGTGCGTAAAGAAAAATTTATGCATTTATTTAATGACACTTAATAAGTTTTTATTTTACAAGTACTGTACATGCAGGGTGTCCCAAAACAAACGAAAACGATTGAAATTACCAATAACAATTTAATTGTTAGAATTTGAATGCCTTAGCACTCTGTTGGTTCCCACGAGTGCATAAATGATTGATTAAGTAAATTTTATGCATAAAGAAACTATTTAGGAAGCTGCTTTAAATTCCTAAGAGCAGACAATCGCGCACTTTACAAGGAGATGTTCCTGACTAAATTTTAATACATGCACCTTGTCAATATTTTACGCATCATTACGCTCAGCTTTTTGGTAGGGCATTCAATTTTAACAATACGTGATTTCAATAGTTTTCAGGTTTTAGGGACACCCTGTACAGTACAACAACAGTAGTATGATCTATTAGCAATTCGATTTCAATTCGCGGGGGACTGAAATCTTTTATGCTTAAGAATTCCAAAGTGGATTTCTTAGGAAATTCCAAGGTAGCGTTTCACTTCCGAGTAGCGGGCGGAGGTACGCAGTCTTTGAGTGCCCTCTAGTTGCATGTATATTTATATTGTATTGTGCTCGCCTCGGTATTGTGTCTGCATGTTTGAACACATTTAGTCTGTGCAAATTAATATTTATTATAAACTGGATTGTGCGTGTCAAAAAATATAATAACGTTTATAAAAATAGGTACGCAGTGCGTACATGTTGCATGCCTTCTGAAACTTATGATGAGATATAGCGCTTATAACCTTTGGTACAACTGGCGTGAATCTTAAAGGTGATCTACAGTCCGTATGTAAACAAAGCCTTTGTTTACATTTTTGTGTCCAAAATATTGAGCTTTATTCGACAACTATTTATATTTTCAAGCTTCAAGAAACAATGATCAAGAAACAACAATCAGGCTTTTCAAGAACTCAAAACATAGTTAAACTGTTTGTTTCGTAAAAAGTGGGCTCATTTGTGCACATGCGCAGATTGGACTGTAGATCACCTTTTAAATATTGAATCAACAAGTTTACAGTCAATTTCAGCTGACTTTTCATCGTAAGATTCCGAATTTCGTTCCGAACTTCGCAAATATATTCGTTGCCAAGTTCAAAAGTTCATAATGAAATTCACAAACAGGTTTGTAAACTGGGCATTTCATTGGCTGGTTTGATTTAATAGCCAATCAGAGGCTTTGTTTACAAACATGTTTGTGAATTTCATTATGAATTTTTGAACTTCGCAACGAATTTGCGAAGTTCGGAACGAAGTTCGGAATCTTACGATGAAAAGTCAGCTGAAATTGACTGTAATAATATTGAAAAATAGCTGTTATGTTATTTATTGAAAAAATAGCTTTTATGTCAAAATAAGAAACTTAAAGGTGATCTACAGTCCGATCTGCGCATGTGCACAAATGAGCCCACTTTTTATGATACAAACAGTTTAACTATGTTTTGAGTTCTTGAAAAACCTGATTGTTGTTTCTTGATCATTTATTATACTCTAGAAGCTTGAAAATATAAATAGTTGTCGAATAAAGCTCAATATTTTGGACACAAAAATGTAAACAAAGGCTTTGTTATAGATCACCTTTAAGATTCTCACACGATAGGCAATGTTTTTATGAGCGACCGTTCATCGTTAATTGCAAGCGACGGTAATAACAAGGTCAAGGTCGGTCAAGGTTTTATCGAAAGCGATTGACCGCTAGATTTCCTTAACAAATTTATAACTAAATAACGTTATTTCCTATAGATTTAGCTTTATTGTAACTTTGAAAGGTATAAAAAACCGTGGAAACGGTGAATTACTATAATAGATTGAAAATGGTTATTAATTAAACTATGATTGAAATTGTCGAAGTAGAAAAAGCATAAAGGTACTAGTCAGCTAATATGACCTGTATGTTTGTTTGAGTGATTGAAATGAGTTAATTTACACTATATGGAATGTCATGCTGAATGTCATGTTGAACCTTATGCGTACTTCACAATGGTTGCTATTTCGTTGTTTTAAATTTCGATACAATATACAATTCAAATTTTGTTTGATATTTATATTTAAAATTATACAAAATGTGCTGTAGTTTTGAAGCTTCGCACAGAATATAACCAGTGCGAGCACAATGGCTCCGTTTCAGTTTGAGTATATAAAAATCGAGTGTTTTGATAGCGTGGGCTTTGAGGCTTTCACGATATATAAATATAAACGCCTGATAATTGATAAATAATCAGTGCGAGCACAACGGCTCCAAAATCACAACAAATAACAGAATATAAGGTAAGTTAAAAATAGTAAACCTTTACCTACCTCGACTTATTTTTCTAAGGCGCTCAATTATGTGAATTTTCGGCAAATAATCAATATTTCTTTGCGTTTCCTCGACGAAAACCCGGCACAAAAATGCTCGTCGGAAAAACTCGGTATTAGTCGTCTTTTAACGAATCTGCCGCGTGACTGGTACGCTCATCACCGCTCACCGCTCACCGCCGCTCATGCACCGCGACACGAAATTTAGAGCTATATGAAAGTTGCATGCCATATATGGCATGCAACAAAAACAAGCATATTCATAGCCTAATAATTCGCAATACTCAAAATGATTTTGATTTTGTTTTTAATAGATAACGATAGGTGTAATTGGCAATTATGGGCTGTGGTTGTATTGATGGCTAGTTCTACTTAGATGGGAAAACAGGAGAAAATAATTTCCAACAACAAAGACACAGCTGCCTTACGTTTGAGCAGAAAAGCGGTCGACTTTAGTTGCATTACGCAGATTGTGACTGAGTCAGTTAACCATTGAGTCAAAATTGTGCCACTGTGCAATATTACATTTACTGTAATATTTTGAAATTATATTTGTGCATAAATATATTTCTCACATAATTAACAATTATTGGATGAGTTTTTTTTTATATGCGGAATTATCAAGGTCGAGGTAAGCGTTATCAGCCGAGCCTTCGGCTCGGCTGATAACGCTTACCTCGACCTTGATAATTTTGCATATCGCAAAAACCGAATTCAATAATTGTTTTATTATACATTTCTTTGTGTTACAGCCAAAATACAAGAACTTTCCCGCTTCTGTAACTTGCTTTGTATTTATTTGTTCTATTTTCTGTAGCGATTACCGCTTTATCGGCACATATCGCGTCCTAATCCGTTAGAATTTCGCTTTCGATTCCTTCCTTTATATACGTCAATTTGTAGCAATGGATACACCTTTCGTTAGATTCTTTGCATAAAAGTTGCGAAACTTAGATCTTATGGCGATAATTGTTGATAAATCGGTTTTAAACCGCCGCCTAGTGTGTTCATACTATACAAATTTAAAATTACCGAATACAATCATTCAGTGACGTACTAAAATGAAAATTTCACAACTTTTATGCAAAGAATCTAACGAAAGGTGTATCCTTGTACAAATTGACGTATATAAAGGAAAGAAAGGGGAATTCTACCGCGATATTTCCCGACAAAAATCGCTATAGAAAATAGAACAAATTACAGAAATACAAAACAAGTTACAGAAGCGGAAGTGGGAAGGTTCTTGTATTTTGACTGTAAATAGATACCGCTTGCTAATCATCGCAGGCTCATTTGCAGATAACTGAGTTATCTGCTAGCAGATAACTGAAATTTCTGTAGGTTGCGTGATTGCGCGATTTAACTGTAAGCTCTTAGCCAATCAAATTGCTTTTACCAACTACAATGTATAATAATAGCGTATACCAGTACAATATTATACTATTCTATTATTATATTGATTGTTACTTTATACTATGCAATATGTATTATTGATATGACTGAATATAACTCCAATAGCATCGTTTCTTTCAAAACATCTTCAGAAGTCTTAACGAAAGTAGGTCAAGGCATGCTGAATTGTTGTCTTTATTTCAATCTCAAGATGCTCCGGACAAGAAACTAACTTAACAGGACTCTCTTTACAACCACAAATGATCTAAAACATAAGAACTGTTAAACACTTTAGACTATATATATAGCGTCATTTTTTTCCGCAAAATATTCACCGATATGTGTGCGAACATATTAATTTGTACTTCACCATAATCTATACATACCTGAATTGTTTGCCTTGCGTCTGTTAGTTGTACTTTAGCCAGGGGAACAATTCTATCCAAGTAAATTGTATAAACAGTTTCTTCCTTCAGTATTCTTTCCAGTTTATGAGGTTTTGTCAATGAAAATAAGATATAGCACGAATCTTCAAAACAGGCTCAATCAAAACAGTAGGTTCGTAGACGCGTGAAAACACACGGTCAATGTTTACGGATAAAATTCACTAACTTTCTTTCACTCTGTGGATCTGTTTCTTTGTTGGGAAATAGATGCATGGGTATTCCTTCAGGCTGCTCAAAATTAGTGCAATAATCTAAGTTAGAACTGCCAGAAACACGGCCTTCGTCTCCGCGTTTGTTGGTTTTACTATAATTTTAATACGCCATGATGAAATCGTGTTCATCTTATGATGTCACATATATAGTTAAAGTTTTGCTCTACATTTAATTCATCGATGTTTTGAAAGACAACCTCTTCGAGAGTTTTCACGTCACTACTATACATAATTGAAAACAGGGCTCTTACTGCTCTAGATAATATAGGATCCTATATAGGAATAAAAAGTAGATAATATTAGTCTTCGCCCCACGATGTCATTGATATAGCATTTTGTTGTGATCTATTATATTTGGGGTTTTTTATTCGAATTGATTTTATTGCCAAATCATTGAGATCCTTTGTGTTTCCTGATACCAAAGTCTTATAGTCAAATGAATGACGTTGAAACATTTCACTAGCATACAATTCAACACAACGCATTGCCGAGAAACACGATAGTGATTCATATAACACGTTAATACAACAACAGCTCTTTTAAATACCTCGTGATCCTTAAACAAGTCCGAGTTGTTGGGTTTCTTGCGTTTTCTACCATCAGTTTTCTTGCTACCGCCCTTTGTATTGGTACTGGTTTCTGAGGGCCCCACAATCTGTTTCTGCGTTGATTCTGGTGGTGGAGTTGGTAGTATAGGTTCCATCGGAGGACAAGCGGATTCTTTATCCACGGCCAACAGGTGGTCATCATCATCATACATGGCAAGAAAAATCTTCTTGAATTTACCCCAGTCATCTTTCTTGGAAAAATAAAACTTCACAAAACATTCATTCCAAACTGCGACACCATCATTGGGATTAAAGGGTAATGCATCATCGTCCATAGGCTCTGGTTCTGGGTCAGAATCATCGGCTTCGATCACCTCCACATCGGATTGAACTGCCTTCAATCTCACCAATACCAAACCTTGATAGTCGCTGTCGCGAAGCACCAGGCGCACGGAATTGCCTTGACAATCTGTACCGTTGGATAAATTGAAATCGTTGAACGTGCCAGGTAAACAGGATGCTTTACCAAGCGCAGCACATATAATTCCAACATTTCGTCACCACTGATACCCATGCATGTCTTGCATATAAATCTTGGTTTATCACCTCCGTGAGTACAAAGACCAGAAACCAAGAAAAACTTCTCACTGTATTTCTCGAACCACCACAGTTTTGTTGACAATATATGTTGGCAACGTGCAAACCGTTTAGCGTATACTTCTATTTCAGGCGAAGTCATTTTTTCTAAGCATTATAAGTAACTTTTTTGTTCGTTCACACTAGGGTAGAGACCCCGTCTAAGATACTCATCAGCAAAGGTGTCCCGTATTTATAAACGCATAGTCCCAACGACACACATCCGCCGCACTGTATAATGAATTGTTTCGCAATATGCTTACGAATAGCCCATTCGACTTCCCGTGTAATTTTCGTAATTTTATCCAGATAAAAATATTTCTTATATAGATTGGAAAATTTTAACTCCCCACGAGCTCGACAAATCAAATTTGTAATACCAAGAACCCAGAGACGATGATGTATGGATTTCATACACCAATCAGATTCAATCGTGTGATATAACACGCAGGGGCGGATCTAGGATTTTTCGTACCTCAGTCAAAATTTTTTGGTGGACGGGGCGTTATCGGCGCTGAGCGTGGTCTCGACTGGGCGTGGTCGACTCCAGACGAGAGGAGTGGGCGCTAAATAATTTTTATGTTGATAGTCCGCCACTGGATTTTTAAAATTTTCCGTACATAAAATGCGATTTGGTCCCCCCCCCCCCACACACCTATTAACCTAAATCCTAATTAATCAAATTATAAAACATATTTAGATTAAATTGATAAACTCAAACGAACATTTGATTCTTATCCACAGGCACTGTAAGAACAATTACAAATGCACAAAGATATATTGATGATAATACTTTAAAACTCAGCAGCAATTTAACATGTTTGCCTGTGGATTAAGAATCGTTGTCATATTGGTACTATATGCTTATAAGTGTATCATTGTAAAACTTCTAAAATCATATGGAAGCAAATGCATTAAGGAAATATACTGTTCTGTTACCAAAAACACAGAACTATGCATAAGAAGTAATTGCCAGTAGCCTGAGCTCCAAAAAAAACAACCACATATTCATTAACTAAGTCAAAGATGTTAAGTCAAATATTAATAAACTAAACCCTTACTATTAATAAAGTCTTACTGTGGTCTATATATTGAACACAAAATATACTATTAGTATACTAGTAACATCAGAATGGCTACCAGTCAAAGAGCTTTTCAAACTACCTACAATTAAATATTTCACATCATCATGTTACATCAGACCAATGCGGTCTATGTTCAAGCCATGTCGAAAGGCTATGGATAAACAATACACGTATACGCGTTACGCGTACATGTTGTGTGATTAATGCATAAATATAAAGAAATTTTAAATAAAATTTCACTAACATGAGAATCAACAAATGCTTACAATGTAGACATTGAATATTAACAAAATTAGCTTCTTGACGCGAGAATTATGCTAATACAGCAATACAGCATAGCGAATATATTAAAATATCATATGTCAGACAATCATTAACAACACCGATGGCTTGGTACTCCGGTTTATAAACCTTTAATATGAACTAAAGATACATCACTATAAAACCATAAATTTATCTACCTTTTTGCAGTGCAAGCTTTGTCTTTCTCTAGCAGTAGCTCTCTGCGCCAAAATTTCTAGCGAGACTTCTGCTTGTGTTGTTGATGGCGCCGCTCAGTAGCTTGTCAACAAAATTCGTCCGTGAGGCATCGATATTCTTTTCAAGCTCCGTATACAAACGTTGTATAGAGATTCCAAATTGTTTGCCGCAATCGCAAACTGAACATTGTCGACAATGTTTCCAGATATCGCTGGTAGAAATCGCTCGTAATAGTAAACGTTCGAAATAGTAAACACTCAGAGGTAAACACTAATGCGGTCTTGACGAATACCTCACGTTGCGAATCCGTCGAAAATATAAGCCAATGATAGTGCAGAATTTTTTTAAATGGTTCAATCAGAAGGCTCATACAGAGCCCCTGAATCTGCAAATCCGTCAGGCCTCCCCACAGATCCGTCGCAAATGGCCGTAACCATGGAAATGAGCGTGTCAGCCAATCAGATAGCCGGATTTGACCCCCGAATCCGTCAACTTTCATGCGTAAGACCGCTGTTCGTGACTGACTAACATTACTTTGCCGAAGCTCTGCCGCAGCATGAAACGTATAACTGGACTACCGGTACAATTCAAAATTTTAGTAACTCGATCTACTGGCCACTATAGATAGCTGGAGTCAATTTTTTTTTAAGTAGGCAATTTTTACTTCAGTCGCGCATAGATCCGCCCCTGACAAGCTTCAGTGAAGTAGCAATGCCAAATTGTATACGCGCAGTCGCTCAATGCCAAAGTATACTTGCAGAGTGGTTTTTGAAGAACGAGGCATGATCAGAATATATATATATATATTGTATGATGCATGAATATTCTTTACAATCGTATAGAATATTCACTGATATGGCTTATTTAGGATTTTATCACCATGCATGCAAGTGTTTAAGCACTCGGTAAATATATATAGGATATTTCACGGTGGCACGGAAATATGACTTTTATTTTCGAGTGGTGAAAACAATATTTTA